GGGAGCTGGATGTGTTTTCCCGTAGGATAATCCACCCTTGGGAATAATCCCAAAATAATTTAGGGACTCATCCCAAAAACCCCCAAAATTCCGGATTTTAAGGAATTAAGAAATCCCCAAAAAAAGAAAAAAGCTGGAATGAGGAGGGACTTACTTTAGCAGGAGCGGTGATTTTAACCTGAGGGATTTCGTCTTTGATTTCCAACCTGGGAGGGAAAAGTTAAATCCTGGGATGAGGATGGGGCAGTGACGTCATCGTTGTCACCGTCACCGTCACCGGGACGCGGCGCCGGCCGGGAACGTCCCCGTGCTCCTCACCCGTCTTTGGTTTCCATCTTCATCCTCTTCTCCTCTTGGTCCTGGGGAAAAAGGCAAAGAAATGGGAAAAGGAGCGGGAAAAAACAATCCCACCGTGAGCAAAATCCCAGGATTTGTCACAGCAGATCAAAATCCCGGGAAATCACCCCAAAAATGACACAAGAAAGGTTCTGGGGTGTCAGCACTGATCAAAATCCCAGAAAATCACCCCAAAAATGACCTGGGACAAGTCTGGGGTGTCAGCACTGACCAAAATCCCAGGAAATCACCCCAAAAACGACCCAGGACAGGTCTGGGATGTCAGCAGTGACCAAAATCCCGAGAAATCACCCCAAAAACAGCCCGGGACAGGTCTGGGGTGTCGGAAACTACCAAAGTCCTGGGAAATCACCCCAAAAACGACCCAGGACAGGTCTGGGGTGTCAGCACTGACCAAAATCCTGGGAAATCACCCCAAAAACGACCCAGGACAGGTCTGGGGTGTCAGCACTGACCAAAATCCTGGGAAATCACCCCAAAAATGAGCTGGGACAAGTCTGGGGTGTCAGCACTGACCAAAATCCCGGGAAATCACCCCAAAAACGACGCAGGACAGGTCTGGGATGACACCACCGACCTTCTCCTCCAGCTCCTCCTCCTCCTTCTCCACGCTCATCAGCTCCGGCTTCGCCTCCCCGTTCACCTCCTCCGATTTCCGCTTGTTGGACCTGCGGGGAGGAGCCCGGGGTTGGGGTTTTTGGGGCAGGGTTTGGGATTTCGGGGTGAGGAAGAGGAGGGGGAGCCTTCACTGACCCTTTGGACAGGAAGCTGAGGATGGACGGCTGCCGGCCGGAGCTGCGGGTGACGCGGGAGCTGGCCGGAGACTCTGCCGGGAAAAGCGGGGTGGATCCCAAACCCCCTTCCCGAGGGGATCCCCGCGGGAATTGCTGCACCCCAAGGCCAGGAGAGCCCCAAAACTCTCCCAGAGGGACCCCAAAACCCTTCCCAAGGGGATTCCACTGGGAATCGTTGTCCTCTGGAATCAGGAGACCCCCAAAACCCTTCCCAAGGGAATCCCAGTTCTCAATCCCGATGGGAATTGTCACATGCCAAGGTGAGGAGACCCCAAAACCCTTCCCAAGGGGATCCCACTTCTCCATCCTGATAGGAATTGTCACACCCCAAAACCAGGAGACCCCAAAACCCTCTCCAAGGGGATCCCAGCTCTTGATCCCAATGGGAATTGTCACACCCCAACCCCTTCCCAAGGAAATCCCATTTTCCCCCCAATGGGAACTGCCACACCCCAACCCCTTCCCGAATTTCCCAGCTCCTCCCCTCCCTCCACCCCTCCAGGAACCCCCATTCACACCCCCAAAGACCCCCCGGGAACCCCCAGGTTTTACTTTTGGCGTCGCCGTTGGAGCGGCTCCGGCGGGATTTGCGCGCCCGCGCGGCGGGGCCGGGGCCGGACGCGTCCCCGGCGCCGTCCTCGTCCTCGTCGCTGCCGTCGGGATCGGGATCGGCCCCTGCGGCGCCATTCCGGCCCGACAGCTCCTGCCGCAGCAGCGCCTTCACCTTGGCCAGGTAACGCTCCTGGGGAGGGCAGCGGCGCCTGGAGCTCGTCCCGAATCCCAGGGTTCCATCCCGCATCCCAGGGTTCCATCCGGAATC